TTAAACAATCTCGAAAATTGTCAAACTGATTTATTACTTCCGTCTTAAAAGGAGAATTTAAATATTTTCTCGTCAAATGTTTCGAGAAAGAAATTTTTGTTTGAAATTTATGGGGGGATCCGAGAGGAGAAACTCAAATAAATATTTCGAAGAGAGAACTCAAATTTCGGTTTATTGGGGTCCAAGAAGGGAAACTCAACAGACCCCACTTTAGGAGAAGATGGAAAACTCCGCATCTTGTAAATGCATTACTCCCCCGGACACGTCACTGAACCGTCAGTAAACAACGAACAAAGAGAGAGAAAGACTGGGTCGTGCACTTGAAACACTTACGGTGTGACAAGAGCCTGGCCCATGTCTTAAATTTTACGATCGTATTTTCGACGAAATTTTACTTGAAATTTGTTTTCCCGATAATTTATTATCTCCAGCTGGCCCTTGGCCTTCGAGAAAAAGGAAAGAAAATTAAATAAAGGAATTGACTGTGAAAATAAATTTGACCATTAAAGACTTGTTTCCCCAAAATATTATTCATCTAAACTTCCAGAAATAATTAATTAAATGATTTTTCGACGGATGTCACAGGATATAAAATATTAGCCATCCCGAATCGGATATGAGACATCACATGGTGAATATTAACCCCCAGAATATGAGGCACTCCCATTCTGTCACTGTATAATTCCGTTCTGCGGATGTCAAAACTACTAGTGAAATAAATAAGTCTCTCCAGTCCGGTTGAGGAGTTTGGGTGGGTCGGATTCAAATTCCGACTCCTGTGTTAACACCGCTCCTATCGACACACTCCTATCGCTTGCATCTGTCTGCAGGCAGAAGGGTTTAGGAAAGTCAGGGCGGGCCAGTACGGGGCTGGTGGTGAGAGAGATCTGCAATTTTTGGAATGCGGTTTGGTTCTCTGGCAAGGGAACTTTATCATCAGATAGTGATGGTAGGGCAACAAACGAGAATACCATCTGACGATACCGAGGAATCATTGTAACTCATCGATATTACGAGGGGGAGCGTACTCGGTGATTGGGGCGATTTTATTAGGGTCGCTTTGTAATCCGTCCGGGGTCAATAGATATCAAAGAAATTCGAGTCGATCACAAAAAATCACATTTATTTAGGGTAATTGTTAAATTATTCTCTTGTGACTTTTTAATCAACTGAGACACGAATCATTTATGCTCGTCTAGGGTACGGGTAAAAATCATGAAATCGTCTACATATTTACGGACGTTATTCGGCCATTGGGTGGGCATTATCATATCGGTAGGGAATTGAAATATCGTGGGCCACTTTTAAGTCTGAAGGGTATCCTTTTGTACTGAAACAGTCCAGGGGGTATTCGGGGGATGGCGAAGGCAGTTTTCTCCTTACTGTTGTCGTCTACAGGGATGTGAAGGAAGGCCTGACTAACGTCTATTTTTGACACGTAGACCGCTCCGTCGGCGCAATATAATAGGTCTTCTACACTTTGCAGGGAGGGCAACGTGTTTAGTCACGGCATTACGGGGGCGGTAGTCAATGCATAATCTATTATCGGGTTTCTTTACTAGAACGGGCCAGCTACACCAATCACTCTGGGAAGGTTCGATGGTATCTTGTTTCAATAACTGGGCCGCTTTTTCTCGAGTGGCTTTTAAGATGTGGGGGGCATATCGACGGGTAGCACCGCGGCTGTGGGGGTGATCTTGAGTATCTATATGCATGATTAAGAGGGGGAAAACGGCTGCGATCTCGGGGGCAGGGTTAATCCAACTTTTAAATTCTTCGCGAAGGGATTTCAACTCAATTTCAGAAACAACTGCCAATTGGGGTAATTCACAACGGGAAGGATGATTGATTGAGTGGTAGTCGAGAGGGGTCTTTACCGTCCGAGGGGTACCAAACTGTGACGGGCGGGGCAATGATTTCATTAAGGGCAGGGGTTCGTTTCTCGCAACAATCTCGGGTGAATTCAAGAGCTCCTAGTACATCCATCCCGAGTATGAAGTCGAAAGCGATACAGATGAAAATAAAAAATATTATTTGCATACTTTCGAATGTTATTGGACCATTTGGTGAGAATAATCATGTCGCAGATGAATTGGAACATCGCGGGCCATTTTTCAAACCGAAGGGCATTCTTCTATATTGAAAGAGTCTAAAGGAAAGTCCAGCCGATGGCGAAGGGAGTTTCTTCTTTACTTTCATCGCCGAGGGCAATGTGGTGAAAGGCGTCTATTTTTGTTACGGAAACCGCACCGTGAGCGCAATGTAGGAGGTCTTCCAAACTCTCCATCGGGAGGGCGAGACGTTTGTCATGACGTTCAGAGGATGACAATTAATACATAATCTGTAACTGTTGTCAGGCGTTTTCACTAATATGGGCCAGCTCTACTAATTACTCTGGGAGGGTTCGAGAATATCCAATTTCAATAATTGGGTGGCTTCCTCCAGAACTGTTTTTAGGACGTGGGGAGCATACCAGCGGGTGACAGCTCGGATAGAGGGTGATCACAGGTGTCTACATGCATCGTCAAAAGGGGGGGTACCGCTGCGATCTCGGGGGCGGGATTGATCCGACTTTTCAACTCATGGTGAAAGGACGTTAATTCATCTTCAGGGACGACGGCTGCTTAGACTAATTCACACGCCGGAGGATTGACTAGATTTTGGGGTTCTCGAGGTGGACCAAGCCCATTAGTAGGGCACCCTATTTTAACGGGTTGGGCTATGACTTGAATTGTGGATCGTTCCGGAATAGGGCGGTTACCGAAATCGAACGTCTTCTCCAGGGATTCGAAAGTATCGGCTCCGAGAATGTGATCGAATGCTAATGCATTGCTCAGGCGGAAGGGAAATAGTCTGACCTAAATCCCATAGGCGCGTCGTATGATCATGCATGCGGATAATATTGAGTGCGGTAGGGGTCTATTGAATGTGTTTTTTGCGATAGTGCGGTGGTGATCGGAGTATCAGGGGAGGGTGGCAGGGAGGCTGTCGCGTTTGAAATGAGAAATGGTTCAGGGAGGGGGTTGCTCAGGACAAGGGTAGGTTCGGGGACCGGAAAGGTTGTTTCCGGTGAGGGTTGCAGAAGTAAAAAAGATATGGTGAGGGTTGAAGAGGTAAAGAAGGTAATGTTCAAGGTGTAGGGGGTCCGGAATTTGGAAATGTTTTGGTATCTCTCGGTGTCTGGGTCGCAATAACAACCGTGGGTCACGCAGAGGTGGTGCTGAGGTGGCTCTTCCGTACATTTGTTGTATTGGGGGTGAATTGGGGCGGAAAGCATACGTCTTGTCACAAAGGAGCAAGTATGGATTTCTGGAATACTGTTCTGGGAGTACTGGAATGCTGTGATTGTCCCGCAACGGTAAGCCTATCTGCAACAATTTTCTCCACCTCCTCCTAACACTCAGAACTGTCCCAATTTCTAACACGATTCGTTCGGCACACTTCTCTCTCTCTCACTCGCCGAATTCGCACTTCATAATCCTTCAGCCGAAGTCCTTCACACAAATCCTAAGACTCAGTTCTCTTCCAAGCCACAATCCTTTTGTACGCTAATTCTCTTCCACATTATTTCTTCCTTACCTCTCTATTCTATACAATTATTCTTCCACTTCCGAAAAACTTCTGTAACTGGGGCAGCCGTAACGCTTGTTGCGCGTTCTCCTTCGCCCCCCACGATCAGTGATAACTGGGAGGGACATCTTTCTTCTTTGGGAGTCACATGAGGTCCCCTTCTAGTCACGTGGTGAACTCTCCACCGTCATAATGAGTGAGTGCCCCGTGAGGGGAAATGGAGACGGGGAAGAGAACAATGTGGGAATTGGTTATCTAATGGTGGGTAATAAGTTTAACGTTTAACCTATGCTTAGTCTACAAGAAATCGTATTAATTAGAGGACTTCAACAATATGCTGCTCCGTCACGTAACATAAATGGACTGTCAGTTGGAACTACCCGCCGTTTGTGTGTTCATAAATCCATCCAGATCTAATGCTATTCAGCACCTTTTAAGGGAAGAAACAAAGTTAGTTTTGAGTCGCGGCAAACGCGCGAAATTCTTCCCCAGCATACCTATAGCTCGACTTCTATCGCACCTATGGGATGCCGATGCCATGTCTATATGACAGGAAAGCATCATCGTCCTCATTCTCATTATCCCTCATTGTCTTAAGTACTAGGCATATCCTATTTCTACAATCCGAGGTATTTCTCAATCTCAACAAGTCACAATCAAAATGAGCAAATATTGAAGTATTGAAAAATTTTCACACAAAACTTTAAATTTGCATTGCATGTTTAAATCAAAATATTAACAATCCATTTCAATTATTAAAGAGTAATCGACAAACATTAAATATTTTTTTTTCCTGAATTTGTGATCAAAAGGTTCAAATGCTAAAGTATTGAAAAATTTTTAATGAAAAATTGAAGGTTTTAAAGAGGTGGTACGTGAACTATGCTGGAACGCATACTTGCGAGTAAGCTAAGACGCATAACTGTTTTGACGCTCTTTGTTTAACTTGGAAGTACGGGCTGCATCGTGGTTAATGCGGCGCCGGCTACACGACGTTGCGGCTGAATTCCCTAAGGGCTCTCGACTTCCCTTATACTTACGGGTTTTATATCCACAGAATAACCCACCCAAACAACGCTAGGGAAAAGTAACGCTGAGGTCGAAATGAGATCGTAATAAAACTCGTGGAAAAGTGAATTTTCCGCGGTTGCCAGGGAGTGATATTTGTAATGCTGTAGCAAATCCCGAACGTGAATATCTCATCAAAAATCTCAGCCTTGATTTATAGTATGTATCTACGAATACTTTTGCAATATAACGCGGGTTTGAAGGGTAAAAAAGCAGTCAAGGTTTTTTTGGGGGTTAGGGTCGAGTCGTTAAGTGAATATCATACACGATAGCATCTGCATCTGCCTATGACGTCGAGTTGGCAGAAACGCTATCGTGTATCTTGATCCTTAGCATTATAGTTTATTGAAAACCACACATTATTTTCTGGAATATATAAATATATAAGGTTTATTTTGTAAGAAAAAATACTTATGGATAAACGAAAGTTATGGATACAACATGTAAGTTCAATTATTTGCCGGAAACTCGACGACAAAGTTTGGCTAGAAGACTATGAAGCTGTAAAAGACTGCTTAATCCGTCGACTATTCCCAAATGCGTAATTCCAATTTCCTAAAAGGAAAAGGTAAATAAGTAATAAAATTAATCATATGAAAGTTTCGACGCTTACGCATAGTCCAAACCGACCTTAACAAAGTTCAATTTTGTCGGTTCATCAACATCTAGGTTTTTGCAAACTCTAAAGATGTTGCTGATCAAATCCTCCGCTGAATATCCCATTCGCCATAGCTGATCAAGAACCTGGACAGAAAGACAAATCAGCATGATTAAATCAGCACGGAAAAAGATGAACACAACAAATCGATTTGCCATAGTTAAGTGCCTAGAAGATGATTCTCACAATTCTTGATTTGGGTACAAATGGATTTTTAGACCGTTAGTCCTACAGTCTAAAAATCCATTACTTTTGAAAAATAATTAATTGGGAAAATAAAGCTGATGATGTAATATTCAAAACGAAAGGGAAACCACCAGAAATCTGCTCAAAATCAAAAGAAAATTCCAATTTGTTAATTTCGCGCAAACGGCACACGGCCGAAATTCTCAATACACTTAGTTCCCCTTGGTGCCTTAAGAATTCTCTAGCTATTTCAGAGTATAGTGAGAATTAAACATTAAGTATGGCGTTCTACATCGTTGAATTTAACGAAACTCATCAAAGTAGAAAGAATAGATGCTTGCTGGTCAAGAGGGAAATTACTTCATTTTAAAAATTCCAGGGCAATATACATACATTTTGTTAGACATATTCAAATGCTCAACATTTTCTAACCACCTCCTACTCCATTCACTTTATCCACAATAGCATTATCAGTTATTATGTACCTTATGTTAGCATTACGCATTGCAAGTCGTGTTTATTGCATTATTGGAGCCTCTTCGAGATAATGATCGAAAATCGCTGTGATGATTAAGTCGGGGGGGGGGGGGGGAATTGCTTTTCATAATTTTGATAGGAATGGTCTGCTGGATAACTTGGCCATCATAGAATGTTCTACCAACGGCGTAAACTGATGATATACGACAGAGAAACAATTTTCATGTGCAATTCGACGCCAAGAAAATCATACAAATGTGTCCCGCCAGGAGGGGTATTCTCTCCGTTAGAGATGTCTACCGAAGTAGTAATGGTATTCACCAAGGTGTGCAAGACTACACGGAATAGCAATTCAACTATAGTAGTGCTACAACACCTACATGTGTGAAGGTCATCGATAAATCGGGGATCAACCTTATTCAAAGATACAGTTGTCCACTCCAGCCACTTAATACTGTCAGTCCTCAAATCCTACTTCTCTCAAATATAGAATGCATGTGGTTCATGTCTTGCTAAAGCTCATAAAGCCAGCTAACGAATGATCCAAATTTCACCTATTTATCTCATATCATTATCATATCTTAAATCATAGTTACGACTCTTTAAACATTAGGAAACATGAATTCGGTATGTCACGTCTGGCTTAAAGGTTTTAGTTCCGGGACAATTTTCAGCGTCCGTGTAAGCAAAAAATGATGCATTTCCGGTATCATTTGAAAGCTAATTTTCTGGGCTTTCGAATGATACTATTTTCTATAGTTGATATCGATTTGGTCTTTAGTCCTAAGTGTTTAAGCATATGATCTGTAACGTGGTATTTTACCAGTTACGGTTTCTCGACCGGTTCACATTATTTAGAGAACTTCCACCAGGTGGAAGTTCAATGGCTAGAATCTCTCGAGGAAAAAGAAATGTGATTTGATTCTGCTTTAATTTTTTTTTTATTTGAATTAAATTTGAACGAGCTCATTTAAGGAGGGTTACTATTCTCTCAGGATAGTTAGGAACGTAGGGAATAATTTGGATTGTGTTAGGCAATGCTGACAAATTAGTCTAATTTATGATAACCAGAGAAATGAATGTCAAGCATCGCTGAATTATAATGCGCATGCGTGAATAATTATTACTACTTGGTGCACATGTCTGACCACTGATCTCTATATAACTGATAGACTATCGCTAAACCTTCACTACGCCGATATTGGGACGGCACTTGGAAGAAATGCAATTTTTTAATGAAATTTTCAAATTTTTTTCTTCGTAAATATTTAGGTGGTAATTTGGTGGAATTTAAGAGAACATAATTAGAATTTGGGAGTGATTAGTTTTTGTTGAATGGATTTTTCTTTTTTTACAATAAAATGATGAGCAGAAGTTATGATTGAACAATTCAAAAATAATTGCAACCGATGGAGAATAATTTGGTGGTCATTATAATCAAGGTTTCATAATTTTGGAGTTAATGGTTTTATTAATAAAAATTAAAAACGTACTTCTTTTGCGTACAGTAAATGGTAAGGAGACTTGCGCATGCATAGTAGGCTTAAGGTAGGACGAATTGATTTCACTTATATTATTATTGGTTTTTTCGACTTTTTCCTTAATAAATATTTAGGTGGTATTTCGGTGAAATTTTGAAGACAATAACCACAACTTAGGAGTCATGCCTTTCAATTAAATAATTAATTTAGTAAAGTATGGAAATGAAAACAAACCATAACATTATTTTTTTATTTCCATACTTTACTAAATTAATTATTTAATTGGAACTGATGACTCCTAAATTGTAATTATTGTCTTCAAAATTTCACCGAAATACCACCTAAATATTTATTAAGGAAAAAGTCGTCTAACGAGGTTTTCTCGTTACGAGTGAAAATCTATGCAAAAGACACTAGAGGAAGTAAACGACATCTAACGCCGGCTGAAAGAGCCAAGCGAAAGATGAGTAGGACATCGGACAATGGCCAATCAGGCCGCTTCGAAGGTGTGTTAGACCAATCACATAGTGGGAAGAAACGTGGTAGGGTGAGACCATGTTTCGGAACACTATGATGACGCTGGCGATAGCTGTTCCCCAATTCGGAAATCCAGCCAGCTGTGTTAGGGAGTCCAAGGCCGACGTACAGGCGTTCCAACTCGGCGGTTCTGAAGGGCGCCGTCGATTTAAACCAGGGACCAACGGCTAGGTAAAAGGACTAGCGCCCTCGGGATCCCGTCGAGTTGATTGGTGGTTGTGGGGTAACGGATGACCCACAGTCGCTGAGATGCTCAGACTAGAGGGCGAAAGCCCTGGGAGATTTCAGGGCAGTTAGCGTTGAATGCTGGTCTCGAGCGGATGTTTTAGGAGCTCGGCATCAGTTGGTGGCAATAATCTCTGCCGGGATTATGAGGGGTACGGGGTTTCAAGGAATCTTGGAATAGCGAGAGAGGGGGACGCTTATGCGTCCCAGATCAATGGAATGGATCACTTTGAGGTTGCGGACGGGCGTCCGCGGCTACAGAGATCCATCTCTTGGGCGAAACTCATGGTGTTGGGGAGAACTAAGGGCCGGGACGCAAGGCGTTTCCCGTCGGTCCGGTCGCACGCGCCTCCATGGAGATCAACTCTGGTTTTGGCTCGCGATGAGATTGCTATTACCGAGCTCTCTCGACTTGGAGTGGACGTTAGGTGGGTGAAAAAGTTCTCCAGATGCCTGCGTCGCATGTGCCTCGAGACGATCGGCGCCCTGCGGGGTGAGAAGGATTCGCAGCTGATCTGTGTCTCTTTTGCGGTTGAGCTACCCCAGAGGAGAGAGGACAGCGTGCGAGGGATGGTCACATCCCTCCACGAGAGTTTTGTGGAATACGTCCCCCGAAAGATACCGATGGCGACGCCGTAAACACGGCGGAAGTTAGTGATTGGAGTTACTCGTACGTTTTGTCCTACTGATGCTGGCTCGGCATTGTGAGACCCGCAACCGGAAGTCCGCGGAGTTAACGAAATTCCTTCGCGGCTGGTTTTCCATCCGGTTTTCCAGAAAAACCTGGCTGGCGCCCAATCGTGAACGATAGAGGCAGCAGCCAGAGTAGTTTAGGGATTATCCCGGGGTGTTGACCCGCGAGAAATTACTCTTACAGTCGAAAAAACCAATAATAATATAAGTATGGAATCAATTCGTCCCACCTTACTACGCATGCGCAAGTCTCCTTACTATATAGTGTTCGCAAAAAAAGTACGTTTTTAATTTTTATTAAAAAAACCATGAACTCCTAAATTATGAAACCTTGATTATAATGACCTCCAAATTATTCTCCATCGGTTGTAATCATTTTTGAATTATTGAATCATAACTTCTGCTCATTATTGTTGTAAAAAAAGAAAAATCCATTAAACAAAAACTAATCACTCCCAAATTCTAATTATGTTCTCCTAAATTCCACCAAATTACCACCTAAATATTTACGAAGAAAAAAGTATGAAAAGTTAATTAAAAAGTTACATTTTTTCCAAGCGCACAGTGCTGCCGACACTGAGGCCGTACTGTAGGACAAGCAGCGCCTCAGAATAGTAGCTCGCGTACTACAGCGCCCTTGACTGCGCATGCGAGTCACTCAACCGAGGGTGACGTCATAACGATGTAGTTCACGTGACGACTCGGTTATTTTTGAAAAGTTTTCGGGTAACAGAAGTATAGTTTTTTCCTTGAGAAAAATGCGGTGTGTTTAGCGCGGAGAAACAAACAAGCCCCATGAGAAGAGATCTTTTTATCGGTGAGTACATAACAGTATTTGATCGATATTAAATGATTCACCAGCAATATTAATTATCGACATCAAAAGTAGTTATTCAAATGTTTGACATTTAAGGTAAAATTTGAAATATAGGAAAGTAATTAATTTCCTCAAATTTTAATAATTTATTAAAGAAATAGAGTGATTAAATAATCTGTCATCCGACGCAGTTGATATTGTTTGCAGAAATAATTAAGAATTTGGTTGCTCAATTATTGCTGAAATTAAAAATTAGAATTGATAATTAGTGGGATATGGAAAATTTATTTGCTGGTATTGGTCGATTTTGTACACAATCAAATAGCAATAATTGAAATTTATAATTTCGATTATCACATTATCTAATATTCACGTTGATCATTTTTTAAATACATACAGATTTCCCAAGGATGGGAAGTTGGTGAAGATTTGGGTGAGGAACATAGGCAGACCGGATTTTCTGTCTAGACCATAACATCTGGGGCTGAGTACAGTCAAGAACGCCATTACAACGATTTTGAGGATTCTTGACATTTATGAGGGTCGCTAGATTTGGGTGAGCGTGGTGGCTTGCAGGACAATTAGAGAATTATTTGGTTGACAGAATTCTTCTGATTTTGTGCGGTGAGTTTCGCAACTTTCTGTATAATAATTAATGCCCTGAAATTTTAGGAAACTCTCACAATAGGATTTTATTTTAATTTCGTCATCTTAAAGATGTCATGACCTCGAAAATATTCATCACCAGTTTTGTATTTATTCTGTTTTGTCTTGAGTGTTAAGGTCACGCAGACTTATCGATTTAGTGTTACTGTTTCGAGTTCATTAGATTTATTGTGGCATTTTTGTTTTCTTTTAACACTTTCCAATTAATTCCTGACTATTCGACTAGTAACTATTGGGTCTCGTGCTTCAGTGGTTTACTATAATTTATTAATTTTTTACTGTTTTGACTGATTATTCATTATTTATTTATTTATTATTGATCTGTTCTAAAAGAACAGAATTCAGAAACCACTTGATTAATTCAATTAGACTACAGTGACGTTTACAATTAAATTGAATGTTCAGTATGTCACGAGGGCAAGTCTCGCTCCAAAAAACACGGTAAAGCCCCGAATTAAATTCATAATTAGTAATGAAACTAAAAGAGTTCCTTTCTTCCTCTTTGGTTCGTAAGAATAAGACTGTAAAAACTATTCTCGATAACCTGGGCGGCTGAGACAGCTGAAATTCGACCACCAGACGACTGGGAGTACTGGACACCGGGGTTGGACAACGAAACTCTGCCAGTAGGGGCTTCACTCGTTGAGGAAGGCGGGGGAAAACCGCATGAATCGGTACTGGAGGATGAAGGAAACGGTTATAAAACTGGTACGAAAATACAATTTCCTGTACCAAGAGACCAAACGCGACAGATCAGGAAAGAGAGCTCACCAGAAGCCGGAGGTGACAACTGAGAGGTTCTGTGCAACCGCAAAAATGCAGAAAACAACATCCAAGGTTGCTGAGATGAATTAATCCATTCAACAGGTGAAGAGCGTTAGTGACGAATTGGAGTGGGCATCCCAAGGGACCAGCGACACCGGATAACATTAATAATTTCACTGGGGATGTTAACCAGTGAACTAAACAATAACACTGTCTTCAGTAGGGTCGATAAACTAGAACATTGAGCTTTGTCTAATGATGATCTGGGATTGATAAAATGCAAAGATCAACCATCTGTGGCGTGAGAGCTGACTTTTGTGCCAATAAGAGCACGGGGGGGGGGGGGGGGTAGAAAGTGTCACGCAACGCTCATTTCGAGGACACTAGAGGTCGAGTCATGATTGATTACCCGCTAGTTGATCCAGAAAGGGAGATAATCAACGAGTGGAATTTTCCCATTGATTGAAGTGGATCTAAGGGAACGGAGAAGAAGGCCAGGACGTGAGGCAGGAAACTTTTTCTTGGATTGTACTCCTGTGGAATACAGTGGTGACACTTAAAATCATTTAGAGTTGCCCCCCCCCCCCTCACTCCTCGCCGAACTTCGAGTTAGTAGTTATTAAGGCAGGCCCAGCAATAATTATTGTAAATCATTGTTAAGTCGAGGGACGGAAATATCATTCACTGTGTTACTACATAGTCTTATTATTTAAGCCCTCTCCCCTTTTACTTTTCAGGCCCTACCAGAATCAGAAATCAATTTTAATCTAACTTTACCCAATATTTGTGCCTCAGTCGGATTTATCAAAGATAAGAAAAAAAATAGATTAGACAATGAAAATAAAAGAAAAAGAATGATCAGTAACTTGTCAATATCCTGCCACTTGTTACGATTGCTTCACCAGATCAATGTTTTTGGTTGGAGGATACCGCATATATTGATAGATAATAAAATTGGTTCTCAATGTGTGCGTTCCGCAAGCACCTCTGATATTGCCCTAGTCGATAAAAGCTTATGAAAGCTCGGCTTATCCCTAGCTCCAGACAAAACGGAATCCATCCACTTTTATAACAAGCGAACTCGACCTATCGACTCCAATGTAGCTTGGTTTCCGTACAATCAAAGTAACACAAAATTCGGTATTGTCTTATACATCTCCTACAGAACAACACATCGTGCTAAATTAGAAAAACGTCAGTATTCCACTATTAGAATACTAACGGGATATAAGAACGCAATACCTACCGATATTAATTTTGCCGAAATTAAACGCATAACCATATACTCCTGGTTTCTATTGCAAGAAATACCTAACAAAAATACCATTTAATACGCATATTCGAGTGGCTAGATCAATCCATCAGTTGTTCTTTCTAAACCATAGTAGCAATCAGAAAAAAAGATCAAGCATATTGAAGGACTGTACAGTGAGTATCAAACTCTCACTTCAATATAAAAAAAAAATAAATATAAAAAGTTATACAACATTAATAGACTGACCTCGTTTTGCGCGTATTTTGAGCCAAATGAATGCACTCCGTCTTTTTTTAAACCAATACTAATTACGAGTGCTGACCGCCATGCGCCATTAGGAGATACGTGATATAAAAGATAAAGAACATTATACATTTCTAGGAAAAGGTATTATCTAAGGATAATACTGTCTCTAAGATCGGAGCAAAATGCTGGTGCACTTCTGCCATTCATTCACGTTCTGTGGCAATGTCACCGATATTCTTACCATTCCCCTGAAATGTTTGACAAACTCAGAGAAGAAAAATTGTATCTTGCGTGCGGGTTCTGGTAGCCACAAAACTATTTTTGAAAACCAACAATATTACTATTTAAATCAGAAAAAAAAACGAAAAACTCTATTACTTGTAAACATTGATGTAAATCAAATCTCTGTAACACATGTGACGAAATTCCAGGCGAATCCGTCACCTGTATTCCCGTAGGGTAACTACCTAGATTAAGGGCGAGAGAGAACCGCGAAAATCAAATAAATACCCGACCAACACGGATCCCGGGACCCGCGTCTATTAGCTACCTGCTACCTAATATCCTCTCGGAGACAGCTACCTGCTACCTTCTCTAATTCTCCCCTGGCTCGCTGCGCTAAGATAATCATTAAAGTAGTAAGTAGAGACAGCAGTTCAATCCCTACAGTTTAGATGAAGCCTTATAAAAATTCAGTTATAGTTATGGATTAGAAAAAAGTGAAATTTCCCCTAAAAACCCCCCTAACAATAAATGAGAAGTGTCTGCGCGAAATCGGGTTAAGGGTCGGAGACTATCGAGGAAAATTGGCCGATATACTGTGCTTCCGGTAGTCCCTGGAACCCTTTTTGGTTAATTGGATAGGAGAACCCATAGGTTAGGTTGAGACGCCTACGCTCCACGGATTGTGAGAGGGTTGGGGTAATCTTCAGTTTAGTACGGGTGGAAGGCCATGTGAGCGAACGTAGCTCTCTCGCTTGCATGGATTGCCAAGAGCATTACGGTTTAGCAAATTAAGATTTAGGTTTAGTTATAGTTACAGAGAAATTAGGATTAGTTAGTTTCGTTAGAAGTTCCCCAATTCCTCTCCGGAGAGGGCCCCTACCGATGAGCTACCTGATAATAGGCATAGACGGGGCAAAAATCCGCTCCCCCAAAATCTCGCTCGAAACCCCTTGAAAAACTTATTAGGGCTAAAAGCCGGTTAGCATAGTTAATAGTTAATGTTGTGTCATGCAATAAGTGGAGTTTATCACTTCTTCAGCGCTTAAGTTGTCGTTAAAGCTCTAGTTCTGGCACTAGCGATTAAATTTGGCTTTCAATGAATGTGAGCACAGAAGTGAGAGCCTGAGCTTGGCCTGTAAACTTCACATTCGTTGAACACGATATGTGCTCTTGTACTCTATGTACTATTCTTGCCTAACCAGAAGTCATTCATGTTTAGAGTTAAGAACAAGTAAATCAGAAATAGCGGAATGAGCAGATAAGTTTATTAGTTTATTACTAGTTACGTCAAAAATAGTTACTCATTTGTGAAGAAACACAGCGATTTTTCACTCACCCCATAAGCTTTAGAAATGTCTTCTTGAGCACAAAAATTGAGCATTGCTTTGACGAGAAGTGGATGAGGTTCATCACAAACTTTGAAGACATTTTCGTTATTGACATGACCAAATCCATTATAGGTTGACTGCAGATTATTTAAGGCTTGTCTCATGTCACCTTGAGCTGTGAAGACAATTGCTTCGAGGCCATCATCAGTATATGAAACCTAAAAAAGTGAATTAATATTATTTTTTCATCAATCATAAAATCTTCCAAACCTCGGCTAAACAATGAGTTCAGAAAATATACGCACGTTTTCTTTCTGGCAGACATCAATCATTTTAGCTAAAACCTGTGCATCATTCAGCTTTCCGTAACGCAGCATGGCACATCTTGACTGGATAGGTTCAATGATTTTCTCACTATTATTGCAAGCAAGCGCAAATCTAGTTGTATGGCTGTAAATTTCCATTGTGCGCCTCAAAGCCTGTTGCGCACCATCTGTCATGCTATCAGCTTCATCCAGAATGATTATTTTATGTTTTCCTTTTGGTAGATTCACCTAATGATGGAAGCATTCACAAATTACGTGATTTTCATGATAGATAAAATAAATGATTTTTTTTTTAATTGATCCCTGAAGTTATTTACAGACGATGTAACCAAAAATGTGTATGGGGGATTAATAATTTTTGATAATCATTCGTGTTGGACTGGAGTCCAGACTGTACACACAAAAGGACACACAAAAGGTGACATTGTCAAGATAAGGGCCTGGCAACATTCAGGTAGCCGCGTTCAATTTCAGCGTTTTGCCGACGTTTCACAAACAGTGCAGTTTGCATCTCCAGGGCTAACAGCTCCGATTCAGAGCTCCGACATGTGAGAATAGTCCTTATATGCCCTCTCCTGCAGTGATGCTGATAAAGGTGCAAGAAGTGCGGCAGAGGGAGGGGAGGATGCCCCAGCCAATTACATTTTTAATTAATCAATTACAAATAGAATCGCGGTAACCATTTAATTTGTGTTAGATTATCTCATTGAGACTTGGAAATTTAGGCTTGCTCTCTTTACAACCTGTAGCAGATAGATTTATTTGAGTTTTTGTGACGCCTACATCTTTGTCTACGAAGCTGAGACTCGTAACCCGTGAATTTTTATTATTTTGCTTAATCAGGAGCGAGTTAAATTTATGGGTAATAACCATAATACCAACCGTTATAAAAATTACTATTATTATAGTTTAAAAACACAACCATAACTGGTAAGAACCCAGATAAATTATACAGGAGTGTCGGTCTATTGATTAAAAATTAACTTATTCAAAGCCTTTAAAGTTAATCTGAAGTCATGGAAGAAAAAGTCATAGAATTTTTAAACGCAGTAATCGAAAGGCATAGTCTTTGTAAAAACTGTGGCCAAGAGATGAAAGTCAACCACGAAATGAGTAAATTTACATGTAGAAATAGAATAGTTCATATCAATAACAATAGGAAAAGAACCAAAAACAGTATAATACTGAACGAAGTATTTACACTGATTCATGGTTTACGCACACGAAATTGAAAATTCAACTCATTTTCAGATTAATGACTCAATATCTGCTCACACCAAAAATGATTTTACAATAATTAGCAATAGAACATAATATCAATAAAAGAAACGGCCGAAAAATGGATGAAAAAAACCAATGAAGTCCTCCATGAGATGTTCCACGACGGGCGTGAGTCAAATTTAATCAAAAATCTTTATCGGCATTATTCACTATTTTACGTGTATTCACTTATTTTTCAATTTCAGGCCTTTATTACTAAGAATAGTGAAGGCCATCAAAACACTCGTATGGTAAGATGACATATGAAGGCGATCTCCCATCACATTTCATGTATTATAAGTAAGTTGAGAGGAGATTTTTTCATATCTTTATATCATAGACTCCATATTTGAACAGTGAGACCTTTTTATCCTATCGCAGCATACGCCGTTCGTTATAGTCTCCCTCTTCATCCACAACTTCGTTACAAATTGTAATAGTTTGTATTTATATTCTACTCATTAGGCAGCGGTAGCAGCAACTGTTCCGAAGATGATCTTCCTCGAGGCTTGCCATTTGTGTCGATCGATGATTTCCTTGCGTTTGACCATGCCGAACCGAAAATATTTGACCACCTTGTATGTACAGATATTAACAGTGTTATCTTATTATCTTCATCAGTGTTATCGATTTTCTTTTCTAAGCTTTGATTCTCCATAATAATTTTGCAAACCCATCTTTAACTGCATTAGTGTGATCCCACCCATTATATTTAGCTGATAATATCTAATGATCGTGTTGATATTGAATGAAACAGGTCGGATTCTTCGTCAACCTGGGCGAGAATAATTCTCAAGAGTGTGCAAACACATATTTCCATGCCGCATTTCATTCCGAGGAGTCAATCTCTCCAAGGATAACGTGGAACAGAGTTCCACGCGGTGGCAATCTTCCTCTTGTGAAGCACTCCCTTCCGGAGATCCAGTTCCCTGGTGCTTGGCGTGGTACACAGCGCCACAGAAGGATCAATTTTGTATTGTCATGCAAAAACCCCTGGAAGCCCTGGAGAATCGACGTCGTCGCAAGCGCTAATGACCAGAAAATGCCCATGAGAACGTCAGTCGACCTCCCCAACGACAACGCATTGAAGAATACCCTGCGGAGGTGGAGCATCAAAACTTTTGCGAAGTTTTCGAAGGCCTGCTGCAGGAACACGTGGAAAATGTGGCTGCAGATCTCAAAGCGTGAACTTCCCGAGTGCGGAGAGCTCTCGCGTTTCTGCCCCAATTATTCATTAATAATGTCTTCCTTGTTTTAGGTACACTTTTGAGGGACTTGAATCTTGGTTGCGTGTCACAGAAAAGGGCGAGGTAGAGGTTGACTCTTCAAGCTCTCTCAGTTTGATGGTTTTTAAAACTGTTTGATGGTTTTTAAAATTTATAAAAAAACTATGGGGTCTACGGCATTTTTCCATCAGATAATTTTTGTTGCAAATTCGATTTTTTTTCAATACCAATGTCCCACTGAAAGGGCTGGATTTGACATTAATAGAATTTTTTCTTACATTTCAACCTATTTTTCTTATTTTTTTCCAATATATGAGTCAAAGAAGACAACTCAAAACGATGTTACCATGAAAATTAGGCAAAAAAAATTTTCTCAAATGATTTGTATGAACGAATTATAACTTCATCTTTGGTTTGAGTCTATTTATTGTTTCAATATTCATATTGGAACACATCCCAAATATTTGTCTGGCAGGCACTCACTCCACAATTGTCGGCAAGACCACACATATTTTAATCTGTGCACATTTGTTAATTAAATTTGCTTGATCACTCTCTGCAGCTAATTATTTTTATGTTCTTCTGCAGTAATTATCAGTTTTTGTGGATAAATGGAAATTGATGAATTTTCAAATGTTTAACAGTGGGATCGATATCACGACAAAAAGTCAGCAAGACATGAAATGATGGAATTCAAATTTCTTGTTACCTCGTGCTTTTTCAAGGTAAAAGAAGTTTCAAAATGTTTAAGGACCTCTTAGGAAATGTTCAAACAACATTAACAACAATTAAAAAATCTTTTCACCAGTCTTTTGTGATTAATTTCCGGTTGAAATGTTCAATTCCGAGTGACCTATTCAATGGAATTTTATGCGGAAGTCGATAAAGAAAAAAAATATTAATGGATATACTTTTAAAAAATACAAAATACAGCAAGAAATATATCTATATTTTTCGTTCAAGAATTCATATTTTTGCGCGCTGACTGGCGTAATGATACCCCCACTCCGACCTACGTATCGTGGTCTCGCCCGTGCGACTACCTATACAATACAATAGGACCCATTCTTTTATAGTCATTGGACGAATTGGGGTAGGGAGCTAGGTGAGCCAATTGCGCACAGTTTGCCCATGCCTGCTCTATTGTACCCGGTACTCTCATAGTACGCATTCAGACTTGCGCTGGCCTCAAGAGGCAGGCATTTTGGACAATGACTTGTTTATGGAGATCCATGGCACTCGTAGGGCAACAAATTTTTATGAAGACTCCAATTCCAACAGACCAAATGCATTAGACATGGTGATGTCTAATAATTCATTTCCTACATTGGATTTGTTGCCACAAAATGATGACGAATCCACTGCTAAATCTTACTGCAAACAAATAGAAGAGATTTCAGTAGCCTCAGAGCCCAATTCGCAACAAACTGGTATAAATATCATGCCAGAATCACACCAGGCAGGAAAGCACACGAAGTGGACTTCGCATCACGACACATCAGTCGATTTGCTGATATAATGAAGCAAATTCGTGAGCAATTCAACAGTGATTTGCACGGACCTTTTTCAGTGTTGAAGAAATCATCCACAATGGGATAGAAGTACGCCGAATGACTGAAGAAAAGGGGTCGTTAATTAATGGTATTCGGACATTGTTCCAACACAGTGCATTTCAGTATCCTTAACATTTCATCTTCATAAAAAATGTTATGTGGAACTGATGCGATTAGAAATTGAACTGTCAGTAGAGAATGCTTATCACTCTACTATTATTACGAGTTTGACAATTTTACTAACTCGATCATCACTACAGAAATACGACATTGGCCTTTGAGCCACATAGTCCCCTGCTGATGATGTACTATACGCACTCACGCTTGCAGATTCGTCTAGCTAGGGCATTTATTTAATTGTTGATATGTTCATCCAGAATGGCTTGTGTCAAAGTCATGTTGTTTCCGGTTACAGGAAAATTTTGGAGGCGTTTACTGTTATATATTTGAAGCAAATGGTAACGCATTCTATCGTGATTATACATTACTTGAGCAGGATCGATCCCGTATAGCAAACTCACTGCAAAGGCGATAGCAAATACACCGTCTATGCTGTTACCTTGCTGTTGCACTGCTGGAAAAATGACAGGATGTTCTTCGAAGTTATAATCTGGTAACAACCGTTGCAGATAAGGCATAAATTGATTGACAGTTGGGGTTGCACCCGCAGGCCATTTTGAATCGAAAATGTGAATTTGTTGAGTATCATAATAAGCGCATACCCAGTGCGCGTGATCCCGATTTAAAATTCAGATGTGTTTACGAACTGGATCTATTGGCGCTATTCTGTGAAGCGCATCTTGTAGAGTCGGTGATCGATACTCAGACAATCCATTGGTGGTTGACATGATAATGCGACCCAATACGTCCATATGAGTGGCATACATGAGAGGCTAACAAGCCTCCATCATGGTAGTCTGTTAGTACTCTATAGTTTTCGTCAGACATGATTAGGCATAAATGCTCCAACATCTTCCTCATGAAGATGGTCATTGTTCAACTTCACTTGATTAGTTGAATGGGTTGGTTTTGATTCGTTAATTAGTTGTTCATTGTTTACCTTAATTAGGTTGCTTGCATTTTCAACATCGTTGGTATTAGCATGTTGAGTACAACTCTTGTTTACTCCAAGTTTTTCTGTCGAATTTAGAACAACGCCCGTCACTATGCATGATGGAGCTTCTTTACT